GGTGTCCCTGGGCACCCCTGGAGGCAGGAGGCTGCTGGGTGTCCCTGGGTGTCCCTGGAGGCAGGAGGCTGCTGGGTGTCCCTGGGCACCCCTGGAGGCAGGAGGCTGCTGGGTGTCCCTGGGTGTCCCTGGAGGCAGGAGGCTGCTGGGTGTCCCTGGGCACCCTCGCAGGACAAGCCCCAGCCGTTGTGGGGGGCAGGAGTGGGACCGGAGAGCTTCCAACCCACCGAGCTTGGGCTGCCCAGCGGGATGGCGTTCCCTGCCCGCATGGCTGCCCTCGCCAGAGGCTTTCCCAGTGCTCCTGGGGGAGGGAGGAGGGAATTTCTTTGTTAGCTTCCCTCCTTCTCCCTGCCTGCAGCTCCCTGTGCTCCAGCCGGATGCCCTCGCTCCCCTCAGAGGGGCAGCTTTGGGGATGTGGAGTCCCATCAGTCCCCCACAGAGAGCAGGATGCCTGAAACATGGAGCAAACCCCAGGGTGGGGGTCCCCACAGGGTGTACCCCCAGTGCAGAGGTGGGTGCTCTGCTCCCTGTCCCTCAAAAGGAGACTCTGGCACCTGCCTCTCTGCCAGGATCATCTCCAGGATAAATATACGGGCTGTGTGGGATACTGCTGATGGGAAGCACACAGGGAGCATCCCCAGAGGAACTCCCACAGGCAGAGGCCCCTGCCAGCCTGAGGGACTGTATCACTGGGAGTTCGTGTGAACTCCTAAAAACCCACGGCAGAATTCCTGCTGGGAATCACTGGGGACACCACACAGTGCTGGAGCAAGTCACCTGGGAAGTGGCCAGTGACGGAAGTGGGTTCTAAGAAGTTCCTGGGAATGTAATTCACGTTAATGAGCAAATACCCAGAGCTGAGCCGTGCAGATTCCCAGCTTTGTATCTCCACATATTCCAGGGGAGTGCAGAATCTGATCCATCACGCCATGCTCGTTGTGCTGCATAATGAAATACAGGGAACATTAAGCAACACCTTTGGCAACTCCTCTGGTGAAGTTTTCCAGTAAAACCTATCAGTGTCCGTGAGCAGTTCGGGAAATCATAATAAGGAAGAAGCAGACGCAGCGGAGTTTTACAGACTCCCAATGCACAAGAAACCATTTTATTTAAAAACAATGCATTCAATATCGGGTTATGGCACATGAGTCAATGCTGCAGGCACATCACACTGCAGGGGCACACCGGGAGCTCGGGAGCTCTCCGCACGACGCTCACGACGAGGAGGTGGCACTGTCACGAGAGGAGCCGGGGCAGGATGTGCTGTGCAACCCTGCCCCGGCCTCGGGGCTGGGGACACCCCTGGCCAGGTCCCAGTGCCCCCAGCCCTGCTCACGAGGCTCTCCAGGGTGTGAGGCTGGACACCAGTGTCCTTCCCAGGGCCTACGGCTTTGCCACTCACTTGAGACACGCCCTGGCCCCTTGTGAGCATCAGCCATTTAAAAACAAACAATGCTTTTAGTATGGCCATTCATTATGGAACCCATGACAATTATGTTTGGGTTTTTTTTTCTTAAATATTTATATTTTTTTTATCGAAAACAGCTCCCTCAGGCATTGAACTGTAGAGCCATTGGAATAAAGACGCATTCATTTACAGAAAACCTGCTTTTTCCTAAACGCCCTATTTTTGCACAGTTTAGTTCTGTGTCACAAACACTTGGTTTTGGTTTCCTCCACAGTTAAACCCAGCAGCCAAAACGCCTGTTTTCATCAGCCTGCTCTGAGGAGATGCAAGCAACAAAAATCCCCCCCCAAGATGTACGAAAGAAGAAAGGTAAGACGCATTTCCAATCCTATGTACACCCCCAGCACCCCCTGAGGGTTCCACCCGTGGATGGGGACCCCCATCCCTTTGGCAGAGGGCCTGGAGCGGGATGTGGCTGCCACTGGACACCGTCCCTGCAGCCTGGGGCTGAGCAGGGTCTGTGTCCCGATGGAAGGAGCCGGTCAGGAGGATTCCTCTGCATTTTGGGACCTGAAGTGTTCTGTACTTACAAATATTGATCCTGCTGCATTAGCTCTGTTGGCTTGTCCAGACATTCGGTCGTGAGAGGGAGGGTTCTTCCTGAGCCATCAGGAATTCATGCAGGGATTTGGGGCCAAACAGAGGGGAGGAAGAGCCCAGCCGACGTGCTGCTGCATGCGGGGGCCACTGAGTGTCCTGAGCAGGGAGGCACTTTCTGAACCACAATTCAATAAATAATAAGTGACCGGTTTGTTAATGGGAAGGGCTGCAGAGAGGCAGCCCCACAGAGCCTCTCCTCCTGTGCCACGGTCCTCTCTGTCCCCTTCTGTCCTCATCTCTCCCTCAGACCCCACCAGGCACAACAAAAGCTGCACGTTTGGCGACGGTTTTTCCACATTGAGGGAGCTCGGGCAAAAAAATATTGATACTAAGAAGCAATTTACTTTGGG